AATACCAATATATTTATACGATTGAAGAGAAGATAGCATTTGTTTATTGTTATATTAAATTTATTTTTAAATTAGCTATCATTTTAGGCACTAATAAGCATATAATAGCGGCTAAGTATTTTGTGCTATAAAGAGCCATTTACACAATGCAAGTTTGTTGCCTGTAGAATACAACTAGATAGATGCAATGAATAGCTCGTACGGTCTAAACACCATATACAATTCTTAAAATATTCGAAAAGTTTCGTTTAAAACCGATAACTTCGTCTTTTAGTTTGCATACTATTGATGAGTCAGAAATTTTAAAAAATATTTCAACTTATTCAATGTATGTAATGTATGGTATAACCCGTGATATGATTTCTTAAACATTGCATACTCTCTAAGCTACAACGACATTGGTAAACAAGTCCATTCAAAGTAGTATTTTCCTGCTCTTTGGAAAAATGCTCTCGTTAAACCGATCCCGATAAATATATAATATAAAATAATAGCAGCATAGCATAGCAGTACGATAATTTCACTTCAATTCAAAACCTTAATGAAAAATTCGCTAATGCAAATACGTACAATACTTGAACGCAAGTACCAATAAATAGTACACTCCTTTTTATGTATGTCACTCTCCATGAAAAATAATTTAACTGAATTTTAAACAAAGTATTCGGGTTTGGGTAAGCATTCTTCATAAAATACCAATATTTTAGGTCTGCGACTAATTCCGTTTACGATCTACAGAACCGTGGCATACGGAGAGACGTACAGACGACAGAGTGACAGCAATAGGCTTCCGCTCTTACCCTTTGGATGCGGAACCCTTTTTAACAATATCACTGATGGGTATAAAAATAACCTACGAACTTTTCTCAGACCTACTAAATAATTGGAGTTTACTCCTTAAGAATCGATTTGAATATATAAGGGGCCCGGTATGAGAAAAATGTGAGAAGTGAAATCTATCGATGAATGACCTCGTTACGTTTTTACTGTTTACGCTGTAGCAGCCGTGTGCTACACCATAGCACAGTATCGTAGCGTACCTTTATTTATGCACATCTGAAATTGACTATTGTAAAAAGTTTAATGTAAAATATTTCGTCGATTAGTTATAATAAATGTATATGAAATGAATAAATATATATTTATACATGTATATTATTTTCATTAATTTGTTAATTTACCCTTTCATACAGTATCAATCTTTTTTAAGTTAAATAAACTCTTTTTGCGTCTGGTTAGACTATCGAACTTAAGAAGTAAACTCCAGTCGTGCGTCGGAGTTGACACACATAATTTTTTTTTCATAGAAATCGGTTATGCCGTTTCGGAGGAGCATGATATCAAATACTTTGAAACTTCATTTTTATATACATTGACATTAGGGTACTACATCGTATTTCCCATTTTTTAATCTTCTTTTAACAAATAAAGAAAAGTCTCAACGAATTACTTTAATTTGTTGAAACCTATTTGTCCATAGCCATAGCACAGATCGTGTCATATAAATATATATATTTTTTATTTATTTAAACTTTATTGCCAAACATAAACAAACGGCAGACTTAATGCCATACACATCCTCTACCAGTCAACCAGTATGAGTTTTGGAGACAAATAGGATGGTGATAGGGCAAAGTGGCTAAAAATTAAATAAAATGAAAATTAACATGATAACAGCAATAAAATAATAATACTTAAAAACAAATTGATGCACATATTTAAAATACTCATATAACCATACATTAACAAACACATGTAAATATATATACATATGTATACATATCCATAACATACATAAAATACAATAAATATAATACGTATATATCGATGAAAACTATAAGGAAAAATCACGTAGTCACGTACAAGTTTTTTGAACTCAAACTTATCGTCAGTACTACGTATGCTTAGTGGTAGAGCATTCCACAGACGTATGGCAGTAATAGTGAAAGATTTGGATCCAGCGCCAGAATGATTAAACACAGCTATATAGCAATATATCCATAGCTTAAGTGTCAACTACACTTCTGGACACATCTATTGGCCCACCTTGTATTTTCAGTTTCGTTTGGTCCTAGCTAAAATTTTATATTAGGTCGAGCAAAAAGTTTTTATGCAGTTTTGAACCTGGCACAGTCACAATTTCATTCAATAGTCTTTTTATGAATTTCGAACACAGAATTTAAAGAAACAAAAGACAATTTGGAGCCTCTTGTTGATATCAAATAATCGAATACTAAGAAAACTTGATTTTATTGGTTTACTTGGATTTAATTGTTGAAAAAGTGATTGATATCTTTGGTTTTGCAACAAACATTACTTATTATTAACATTAAGGTGAGGTTCTATCAATAATCTATGGATACTTCACCTGAAGTCGCCGCCCAAGCTGTGGCACTTATTCAGGCCGGACACAGCCAAAGAAACGTGAGTGCTCAACTTAATTTAAGTCGATCTGCGGTCCGAAATGTTTATCGGAGGTATCTAGAGACTGGCGGCTTTGTTCGTCGCCAAGGAAGGCCACGATCTCGGGTCACAACTGAAAGGCAGGACAGATTCATCGTGACGACCAGCTTGAGAAATCGTCACCTTACCTCCATTGAGATATAAAAACAAGTTCGCGACTTCCACGCAGTTTCTGTGAGCGCTCGAACTGTTCGGAGAAGGTTAAAAGAACGTGATATGGTACCACACAAGCCAGCTAATGGGCCCAAACTAACGCGAGCCCACCGAACAGCGCGCCTTCATTTCGCACGCAGTCATTTAAATTAGACACAGCAAGATTGGAGCCGTGTACTCTTTTCTGATGAGTCTAAAATTGTGTTACATGGCAATGATGGAAGGAAGAAGGTCTACCGACGTAAGGGAGAGCGTTTTGCACAATGCTGCTTTGAAGAGAGGGTTGCTTATGGCGATGGCTCATGGACTGTCTGGGGCGGTATATCCGCGAGCGGCAAAACTCAACTTGAGGTTGTTACAGGCACTCACGAATGTACCTTTCAGCATTTAATGTTGGCAACATTAAATGCTGAAAGGTACATTCGTGAGTGCTTAGAACCTCACGTGATACCATACGCGGACTATGTGGGCCCAAATTTCCTTTTTATGCATGATAATGCAAGAGCCCATGCGGCCGGCATCGTCAGGGAATATCTTCGGGATGTGAACATTACAGTTATGGACTGGCCAGCCAGAGGCCCAGACGTGTTAGGGCTCGTCAGCCAGTTGCCCAGACGGAGATGATCCCTCAAAATTTCATAGAGCGGTTGATAAACTCTATGCCTAATCGTATGAGAGCTGTGGTAGATGCCCATGGAGGCAACACGCGTTATTAAATTAAACCTTTATTTGATAAAACATGTTTTTTATTCAAAAATCAATTGCCTTTAACAAGGCGCATATCCGACTTGATAGGCGTAGCTCCATGTCGTATGGTATTCTGAATTCAAATTTAAAACAATACGATCGAAAAAGATGGTAAAATGTATCAGGTTTAAAACTGCATCAACAGTTTTTGTTCAATCTAGCAATCATATTTCGGTAGGGGCCATCGAAACCTAAACTCTAAGGTGGGCCAATAGGTGTGTCCAGAAGTGTAGAAGATTGTGACTCCAAGTCATCTTCAGAGCCAAGCATAATGTCGCGTGACCACCGCCGACGTTCTTACTAACTTAGTTAAGAAGATCAGTGATAGTAGGCCGCTCAGTTTATTGTTACGTAGAATTGATATTTACTAGTTTCATTTTTATTTTGTTCCGACTAACTGTTGTTTATTGAATTTGTTTTCAATTCTATGGAATGGTTAAAACCACACTCTTACGCCATTTAAAAATGCATAACTACGCATTGTTATTTTTTATGTTAAAAGGGTTATAAACAAACGTATGGCCAGCCTAATGATAAGCAGTCACTATAGCCTTTAGATGCCTGCGGTACCAAAAATATCACTTGCACCGTGGAACCTGGGACACTTACTCACCAGATAACACCACCTAAAGTTAGTGTCATTTTTCTGTTATCTTCTGTAAGGTGGTACTTTCCTCTCTTAAAAATGACAAGTACTACTTTATTTTCAGTGACAGTTAGTTGAAGTATCTGAGTGCGCCCTTAATGCCATTGTCAACATGATTACCATGACTTTCAGTCATTATTTTCTAAACCCTTAGATTCGTTGTCAAAGATTGTGTATCCTTGTATACGAACGAGATAAACTTAGGCTTGATTTGGGTTACTAAATATGTGATTTACATTTGAAATACAATGATTATTATGTTTTATATAGGACCCTACTTTGTTTAAATATATTTTGTTTATAATTTAATTTTGATTTTATTTATTTATTGTTATAGCGGAAATAGAAATTCATATACCTACACATTCTTAAAAAATGCCCACGTTCCGTTGACACAATTTAAAATCAAGATTATTAATTTAGTGTAGGCTGTAACAAGCACCTGTGAAGGTCAAGAAGCTACGCCATCGGTTCGCAAAACTCCGGCGGAAGACCTAGTACTGAGAAGAACCGGCAAGAAACTCAGCAAGGGCTGTTTTTTTCTCCCTGTATTGTTATATATAGAGTCGTCAAGTGAAAAAATGACTTCAGAGCTACTTCTAAGGTCACCTTCCATTATATCATTTAGAATATAAATATATAGCTACAATAAATTTTATAGTTAACTTTATATTTAGTGTATAGGAAGCGGCATTACATAGGTATCATATTACTGTTATGAAAAATGACTAATACCCATTAAATAACAAATTATAAGAAACACTATGTCCATGCATTACGATCATTTAGATAATCATCAACTTTAAAATAGCCCTTATTCATAAGAGTATATGAATAAGGACTATTCTTCATCTGAGAATTCAATTTGGTCAGTGGAAGCTCAATCAGATCTTAGAGAACTTTATTAAACAATGCAATACTACAACCCGGAAAGAATTTGGATGACGAACCTTAAAAAGACTTATTTCCTAAAAATGTTCTTATTACTTACTTGGTATCCTGTTGATAGCTCTTAGAGGCCGTAACACTCGTATCGTCCTTATAGCTGATAAATTTATGTTTTCAACATTCAGTGCATATTCCAGAGCGCTGTGGACAAAATAAGAAAACAATTTAGCAAAAAACTGTAAATCGATACCTATTAAACAATTTAGTATATTTGTTGAGTCGGAAAAAATGATCTAGCAAATTTAAAGTAAGATCGATCTATCTTCTCAAAATGTCGACTTTCTTTAAACATGGTGTAAATAAAAATAAATAAAAGCTGCTGTATAAATATTTTTCATTCGATTTTTTTTACACCTGTTCGAAAAGAGTTGTTCTCTGTTAACAGGGACCAAAATAGCGTTTTAATCTTGATTTATTTTGATTTTAATAAGGAATGTGGATATTATTTGTAAAAGTTTCAATCACCAAAGAGAGTTATCACAAACATCTTATGAACAAGTAAGTCACAGACTATATAAAAAACTAACTGTGTGCTTGGCAAATTGACGATGGGCCGAGTGGTACCCATATACGCCGGGTTCAAGGTATCGCCTACTCGAGAGGTCCCGGGTTCGAATCCCGGTGGGGCGGGCAGTTTTTTGTGTGATGAATACCTGCATTTGTACTTCAGTCGTAGTAGTATTACACATATATTACTCCCTAGAACATTGTATCTGACGCTAAAATTGTTGGTTGAATTTATTTATTCACTCATAGAGGGTTATAAAAAAGTAGTGTCTACCTTGGGAACATTTTAAAGCTCGAGCGATGTGCGTACTCTATCCTTCGCTCTGCTCTGGATTGAAAAAAAAAAAACTTCTAATTTTGTCTAATTGACAGACCATAAGGCGTGTTCCCAACTTTTCAAATACAGTCAACGACAATAAAATGTAAGTACTCGAGACTAGATGGCAAAATTAAACAAGAACTTTCGTTGTTATAGATTTCACAGGTGACATTGAACGAAGTTAAAAGAGCATGAAACGAATTCGGCTATAAATAACTAATTAAAACTTTGGATGTTTGAGGGCTTAGTGACTGTTCTATGAATTGGAATGCTCATCAAATAACTTGGAATTTCTATTCAAGGTAAATTGTAAAACGTTAATAATGTTTCAACATAAAAATAAAAATTATGAATGTACTTAAAATAAGTATGATTTTATGATATTTTGAACTATTCTAAAGCTGCTTATTATTAGATGCTTATCATTACACATTAGATCTTTGTAACGAGAAGGATATTTAACTAGAAAAAAAAATCTGATGACTTTATCAGTCACCATCCGTGTCTGAAAACATCATCAATCACCTCATTAACAGTTACAGCAAAAAATGCTTTTTTTTATTGAATTACGGAGTGTTTGTTCAGATTGTTTTTAGATTTCATCAACAGTTTTTAAACCTCATGTGAAGAACTAGTAAATTATTTTATAATGACATATTATTATTTTTAATAACAATACCTTATCTTCTCTTATTTATTTTAAATAAACTAAGTACCTAACTTTTAAGACAATAAAACCTTACCCAGCCATAACGATGAAAAAATCCAGTCTGTTCCAAGAATCCGCCAGATAGGTTCCATGGCCGTAAACTCCCATGGCGACCATCTTGATTGTCATCTCCAGCGTGAAGAAAGCGAATATTATGTCATCGAATACCTGTTGAACCAAATAAACATTGTATGACTTTGTTAAAATATTCATGGACGAATAATATGCCGTAATTTTTACATTTTCGCATTCTACTTTAAATACAAATAAAGTACAAGATACTATGCAAAAGTTCTATAAATAAGTTATTGTCATTTACAATATAAATAAAACCTCGATAGGGTTTTATCGTAAGCATATTTTTAAGGAAAGATGTGGTATTTTAATACTACATGTAGTTTTTATTGGTTATTACTCCACTTTAGTTATCGATATTTCGTTTAGTACTTGTAAAAATATTTAAAAGCTAGGGAGAGTAAATCGTTAAATTTATGGGCCAGTAACTACGAGAGTATCAACAATGAGTTAGGTTTACTAGACTGGAAACTTATTTGGAGTACACGTACGAGTACACCTATATTATTTTAAGTAATCGCTGTAAGCAGTGTTATACAAAATTCAAAGAACAGGCTAAAGTGCATCTGCGCGATAAACTTAAGTATTTTTGGGAGTTTGTCAAGAATAAAAAGTCGAGTCGTGTATCTATACCTAATGAGGTCAAGTTCAATAATAAACACGGGCACTGGTGGTCAGCAAGTTTGTGACTTGTTCTCACAATATTTCCAGACTGTTTATAGAACTGCGAATCTATTGGCACCAGCCTTTTACTTTGAGCAACACGACAACGAAAACCACGCACTTTTTAATTTTTCTTTGTCTGAAAAATATATACTTGATCACCTAAAATCATTGGATCCCAATGAAAGAACGGGGCCAGATTCTTTACCACCAGTTTTTTACAAAATTTGCGCTAAATACCCATGTCAACCTTTACTTAATATTTAACTTCTCCTTGCAGTCTGGAATTTATTTTTCTTACTGGAAGCTGGTATATTACATTTGACGAGTAATAAAACCAGAAATAAAACCAACAATTCGCAAAGACGGTGATATAAACGATGTCAGCAATTACAGGCCCATTTCGATTTTGTCCACACCCGGTAAAATTTTTGAATCATTTGTTCAGAAACATCTTTACAACCATGTTAAAGGTCTTCTTAGTTCGGAGCAGCATGGATTTTTGCCTCGTAAGTCGACTACCTCTAATATCGTATGTTATCTACTTATGTAATATTCTCGACAGCGAAGGCGAAGTTCATGCTGTGTATACGGATTTTAGAAAGGCTTGACCTTGTGAATCATGACATCTTACTTCAAAAGCTAAAATACATGGTTGTACACGGATCACTCTTAAGTTGTTGCGAGTCGTACCTGAGGAATCAATCTCAGTTGGTTGCTTTACACGGATATAAATCTAGAGCTAGGACTATACCCTCCGGTGTGCCATAAGGATCCTCTTATTTTTTCTAATATTTATTGCTGGGGTAATAAGATCCAAATTCAAACTATATGCCGACGATCTAAAAGTGTACCGAGCTGTAAACAGTTTAACCGATATAAATATCCTTCAGTCAGTAATTCGGTCGCAACGGTATGGAACTTAATATCAGTTAATGTTTTCACATAAAATTTAGCAGAAAGACACACGCTACTTGGACAGCGTACTACATCCAGGGCGTGCTCTTTACAGAGTTTACTCAAATCAGTGATCAGATCAGAGTGAGTGAGAAGTTATTATGGACAGTTCACTTAGTTTCAGGTTTCACATAGATACAGTTGTTAATTAATCATCCAAAACAACTGGCTTTATTACTCGTCAAATAAAAATTCTGAAGGAACTCCAACTCACTATTTTTATCTATAACAGTATAGTGCGTAGCATTTAGGAGTACGATAGTCCTGTTTGGAACCCGGGGTACCAGTTACATTCTAACAGAGTTGAACTTGTCCAAAAAAGATTTTTGTACCACCTAGCTTTTTCAGTTGGCATTTGTTGACGACAGAATAAAACTCTTGTTAAATGTTAGAATTTACTTAGAAAAATATTTACAAAGCGAAAACTAAAGACAATGAAAAAAAAATTTTTTTGAAGTAAACAAGTGTTGCTATGCAACGTGAATGTCTAGGGCTGCGTTCTCAACACTCCGCCGCAGTACCGTCCTCGCGCTCACGACACTCATCTTCTCTGGTAGGAAGAACTGCAATGCGTGTTGATGGTCTCTTTAGAACACCGGTCTTGGTTTTAACATCAACGACCCGAATTCGTCCGTCATTCCCAGGATAGAGCTGGATAATAACCCTTCTAAGCCAGCAGTTTCTAGGCGAGTTGGGATCAACAATTAGCACCACGTCCCCGATCTTCAAGGGAGTCTCATCTCGATGGCATTTGTGTCGCGGCAGCATAGCAGGCAGCACCTACTTCATCCATCTCGCCCAAAATAAGTCGGTGAGTCGTTGTGCAGTACGCCACTGACGGCGTAGGCAGAGGTCATCGTCATCGAATACACCGGGCGTTGGTAGGCTAGAAGAGGAACCTAAAAGAAAATGATAAGTTGTTAAAGCTTCCGGGTAGTTCGGATCAACTGTGACATGAGACAGTGGTCTGCTATTTACTAAGCTCTCGACTTCAGCCAATAATGTTAGCAACGCCTCTTCACGCGGCGCTCTCTCCTTCAAAACAGTTCGAAGTGACGTTTTAACTGAACGAATAATGCGCTCCCACGCTCCACCCATATGAGGGTCACTCTGAAGCTCACTTTGACACATCGCAAATGACCGCTTGAGTTCCATGTCCGCACCGCGAAGAGTTGTGCCATTGTCGGAATACAACTTCTTGGGTCAACCGGGCCTGGCTGCCATACGCCTCAAGGCCATAATAAGTGCATCCGCTGTAAGACTGTGAACTAACTCTATATACACGGCGCGCACCGTAAACTACGTAAATAATACCGCATACACCATTTCGCGGCGTCGACTAACTGTGATTTCAAGAGGTCCAAACAAGTCTACTCCAGTTGCTGTAATAGGTCGGCTGTAATGCAGCATACGAGCCTCAGGTAAGTTACACATTAATGGAGGTTTTGGCTGCACCCTTCTTATACGGCAAAACAAGCATTTATTCGTTACAGATCTGACTGTAGGTCGTATCTATACTATAAGACGAGAAATATGACTCTTGCCATCTAAAATTACAGGATGTTTCACATTACTTTTGACATCTCTCGCCAGTTCAATTCGACCTCCCAACTCTCATTACTCCAGAGTCGTCTAAAAGCATTTAGTGTACGCAGCCTGCTAGTATTGTCGATGACTCACTTGTATTCAAGACTCTTACACTCACAAGGAACAACTCGAGCTGTGAGTAACGCATTAATAAAGCCTCTGCTTCCTGTAGCATTTCACAGGTTATTCTGCAGCTATTCTTTCTACATCGGCGAATAAACAATAAAACTGTAGTCGTACTACGTAGTAATCGAGTCCAAGATGAAAATCTAAGGGGATCTGGCACAAGTAAGCTCAACGTTGATTCTTGTTTTATATGTATAGCCTCTAAATCATTGTTATTAACTTTGTTATCTGTTTCAGATTCACACGGCCAATCAATGTTCGACACACTCTGCAAAAACTGAGGCCCACGAAACCACTCACAATGAACGTCAAACTTGTATGAATTTATCTTAGTAGCAATATCGGCAATATTTAAAGTAGATGGTATATCTTCTCCATTCTTTAATTCTTGTTAAGCCATCTATCTCACCTAGTCTGTTCGCAATAAATATCTTATAGTTTCGATTTTCATTTCTTAACCAATGTAAAACTATCGTGGAATCAGTCCATAATTATCGCTCAGCTGGCTCTATACTATGCTCCTCTTGAATAACTGCAGCTAAGCGGCTTGCCAATAAATCACCTTGGAGTTCAAGTCGAGGGTCAGAGACAGGGAGTACTGATGCTACTCTACTCTTGCTGGCAATGAAAGACACATTAACACGAGCTGGGTGATTTTGGCTAGGCTAGTATATTATTCGCCAGTAAGCGACAGCGGCATATGCACTCGGCGATGCATCACAGAATGTGTGCAATTCTATGCGAGACTCTTACAAATCATACTCGGGTGGAAAATAGCATCTTGGGATTCTTAACTGTTTAATGACATTCAACTCTAACATCCACTTCTTAAATTCATCCAATTGTATGTCCAATACTTTAACATCCCACTTAATGTTGGTCTTTCATGTACTCTTTATCAAAACTCTAGCTCTGATAGTAAAAGGTGATAACAGATCATAAACATCAAAAATTGACATGACAATTCTAAAAAGTTCTAGTTTTGGAGGCCGAGTCTGGACGCTAACTAAATCCTTAGCAATTCTTTTTAGGGATAAATGGAAGTCCAGAAAATCTGATATTGGGTACCACAACAATCCCAAGGTACGCTCGCTCAGATTAAGGCTTCCCAGCTTCAATTTGATGGCGTTGTCACTAAGTTCTTCCTTTGGCATGCCATCTAAAATCTGAGGTTTATTACTCATCCAGTTGACTATATGAAAACCACCTTGCTTATGTATAAAAGATATATCTTTTACCAACTTTGCACACCTGTCAACATCATTTATACTATGAATACAGTCGTTCATGTAATGAGACTTGATAATAGTGTTCACTGCGTTAGGCATCTCGGATTGAAATCGCAGCGCATTATTGTTCTTTACAAACTGAGCTGTGAATGGCGAAGCGAAGAATAGCCACTCGCCTTTCTCTAAATCGAAACATTATGCCTAATAAAGATTGTAGCAAGTCTGGACCTTGAAGCAAAAAAACGTTGAGTGAATATCCTCCAGACTTTGCAGCAGCATCGAAAACAACTCACAACTTCTTCTTGTAGGGATTATCTACCCCAAAGTGTGGCAAATACCAAATACGGTTAGGTGGAGTCGAAGTTTGCTCCACTTCACAGGCGTAATCTTTCAGAAGGAGGTGGTTAATCCTGTCTCGATATCTCGACGCGTACTCGTCATTAGACCTCATCTTGCTCTCAACAATGTTTAGCCTCTCGTAAGCATTTGGAAAGGAGATGGGTAGCGCAGCATCGCTTCTCCATGGTAAGC